CTATTTAGATTCAAATTTCAGATGCCTCAATTACACAACCAGTCATTCTCTTTAATAAACAAGCTGAAACGCTCTTTCACATACCAGCATCGGAAATGGTCAATCATATTGCGAACGTAAATTATTGCTTTTAAATGTATATATATATATATATATGTGCTCAAATAATTTTTATTCAGAATAATGACACTATGATTGATTCTATTATTTCCAAAATCATCAATCATGAGTATATATTCAAACTTTGTGTTAAAAATGACCAATACAAGGTTAGTAAAAAAAACGCTTTTAATGAAACTACAGTAAAATTATCAATTCACTAGACTATCCATGATAAAAGATCTATATCTTGAAAGTTTCATATCGCGAAGAGACTTTGTTGAAAACTCTTGAAATTTTTTTATGTAAGCTAGTCTAGTTGAGTTATCTATATGTACAAAGTTTCAAATCAAAATTCGAAAATACGAGTTTTCCGAAAATGCGAAACCTCCAGAAAATAAGTATTTTAAAAATCCTACAGCTTAGTTAAATCTCTATAGGAATCGAAGTCTTTTTCAGGCTTTTATTAGAACACAATATAATATTATATATGGCCAAAAAAATCGTTGAAGCCGGAAGGGAACAGTTGAAGAGGCTTCCTCATAAGCTGAATTCTATCATGTTTATAATGTTTATTTCAAAAAAAAAAAATGTTACAAATAATTCTCTGACAAAATTAAATTAAATATAATAGTTTTACTTTATATGTTATAAGTCACTAATAAACATTCACTGTTCTCTATTTTTTCTTTCTCTATTATTTGCTCGTTTAATTGTATAGTCAGATATATATCTAAATGTATATACAAAAATAAATACGACTGTAAGAAAAAAAAGAAATGTTTATTTGGATCATATTATTTTGTTCAAAAAGATTCTGCATCGACCCATTCATTTTCTTTAATAAATTTTTCCACAATTTCTTTGACTACAAGATTACTAATTAATTGTTCCGCAACTAATGGTTTATTAGCTATTGGATCAAGATGACTAACTTTATATAAATTTTCTTCAATACATGATCGACAATAAGTAATACCAACTAAAAGAAAAAAAAATCAAAAATTAAAAATTTAGTTTTTTTTCGGTCTTTTGAAAAGAAATGTTTAATTTACAGGGGGTAATAACTGGATCTCTCATAATATCGTAACAAAGTTTACTTGTTAAATATTCCGGTATTTCACGTCGTTTTCTTTTCATATCAACTTCATTAAATAAATTATTCAATTCATATAATGATTGATTGGATGAGTGTTCGATTTCAAACAATGCTTGTTCAAGTTGTGGATCAACAATAATATTCATTTGATCGTCAGGTGTAATACCTGTTTCTGGATTAACTGGACCAGTTGAATTAAGATTTGTTGTTGTCTGTTGATTATGATAATCCATTGTTTTTGATAAATATTGTTTTAAAATTAGAAGTCAATTCGCTGTTGTTGATAATGATGATGTGGATACTGATTCAATTTATTTATTTATATTAACTTTATTATCTTCTAAATATTTTTCAATACATAATTGCATACGTCGTTCTTTATCTGTTTGTATTAATGAATGAAGATATGTTTGTAAACTATTGTCATTTTCAATACGGTTTTGTTCCATTAATGAAAAACGACATTTTTGTGGATAGTGTAAAAGTCTTTGAATTTCATTACCAAAATTTTTATTTTGAATCTATTACAACAAAAAGAAAAACAAAAATGATTTTCTTAAATTAATTTTTTTTTCAACAAAACAAACTTTGCATAATTCAAGTGCTCGTTTAAAACATGTTATTGCTTCATCATATTGTTGTTGTTCAATATAATATTGACCTAAATAAGCGTGAGCTTTGATATAATTTGGATCAAGATCAAGACTATGACGAACATCTTGATATACTTTATCCCATCGTTTTAATTTTATATAACATAATGCACGATTAACATAATAGGTAGCTTTTTCACCATTTTGTTTTAATGTTTGATTATAACAACTAATTACATCATTATATTTTTTTCTGTAAAAAATGATTATTGCCTATTAAAAGAAACGAAATCAATTAACTTCATTTGGACTACTTTGGTTCATAAGGAACATAAGAATCAATATATGATTCTGGACACGACTTCAATCAATCGGACTTATCTTATTTCAGCAGTATCCACGCTCCAGAAATTATCAATTCAAGGAAAATGAAGAGTGCGGGTGTAGTTGTAAATTTAATTGAGTTGAGTGAAGAGAAGATGGTCACCAACAGCTGCAGCCAGAATCTTCGTCTTATTCTTTGATTTTCCTTGAATTGCGAATTTCTAGCTCGTAGGTATATATCCAATTATAATATCTGCAAAAATGATTTTGAACGTTGGATGATAAGCCATAGAATTAATACTAAGGTCTTATATCAATTCATTCTACAATTCTATCACATCATATATTTTGACTGAGAACAAAAAAAAACTTTAGATATCTATTTCTTATTATCTCAACAAGATGAACAACTTATAATTTTTAATAAATTTTGTTAGAAAGAAAACTTATTTAAACATTCAAAACGTGGCTGAACAATATCAATGAATGTTCTAACCTTTTTCTTTAATTGCTTCACCTTTTTCCACTGTCATTATTAACAAATGTTAATAAAATCAAACAAAAATCTATAAACATAGAATAATAGTATATATTTCTGTGTCATAGACAAGAAAAAAAAAGACATTAAACACTATTTTTATTATATGAGATTTAACAATAGTTGTGTAAGTCCATTTTTTACCACTTAGAAATGTAGAGATCCGATAATTTAGTGATAT